TATATATATATACAAGAAGTATATATTCACAGTGAACGTGTTGACGAGTAATTCAATATGGAACGAATATAACAGTAGGTTCAATGTAGTTTCGGTAATAAGGGATGCTAGTGAGGGTTTATATACTGATTTCTGTCACGTTTCTTTAAGTAGCTTCTGGCGCAAAATTTAACAACAGTATAAAATTCATCGGCATGATGTGATGAATATGGCATCTTCCGAACTTACGTGAGCTTTGAACTCTTCATACTGCTGTTGCGTACGTGGAAATCCATCAATGATAAAACCGGATGCATCGGCGTGTTGGTTCAAATGCCAAATGAGTGATTCGATCACCATGTCCTAGGAAAACAGAATAGTCGGCTGATTCAATTTGCATGGGTCGAAGACAAACCTGGGGTAGTAATTCACCCGCGTTAATTTGTTCCACCGACTTGGTCCATTTCGACCCTTTGCGCTCGACTTCCAGTTTGGCTCGACAACGTAACAAGTGTCCCATGGAAATATGGACAAAAGTCGGGTAGTGGTTAATTAGTCCTTGAGAATAACTCGATTTATTCACCCCTGGTCCACCCAAAACGCAAATGATCGACGCATTTGGCCGAATTCGCACTTTTAACGAGTCTATCCCAGGCAAGGGCATGTAGCTTGACATGGAATTCAAGGCTGAAGAATTCGCATTAGCAGTTGGAATGGTCATACCTCTTTTTGTGACTACTGGAGGTGGTGGGCTCGTTCGGTTTTCGAGGAATAAATCCCACCTGACTTCGGTCACTCCCTTACGCTTGACTTTCTCAAGGCATTCTTGTAGATAGTTCAAATAGTCCGTAGGTCGATGATACATCAACCCAGTCATGAGACACTGAAATAGGGAGGCGAATCACATGATCAGTTATTGATTTAAAGGGACAAGTTAGCGGTTAATGAAGGAATGTTACAAGGTCATGTAAAAAGAGAGTAACTTCAGAGAGAAAATGATACCTCGTCATACGAAGTTCATGGTGGGCCTTTAAATGGAAATTAACAGTAGTAGCAAGATAATAATCTTTAAATTTAAAAACCACCGAAAAACTTGGTGGAAAACAGTGGTCTCGTCTTACCCTCACACAAAAAAGATTACCAAGAGGCAAAATCTTGAATCATACCACCGAATCCCTCTTCATTATCTAAAGCGTAAAATGAGAACATATTTTGAGAAACATACATATTATTGGGGCCATCTGGATTCCTTTGGAAGCGCTAAATTGCCTATGGGCTCGCTGCGACAGCACCTGTAGTGATAAGTATTGTAGAGCCACGACAAATAAGCAGAAGGTTGTCCGTTTCAGTTTCATTCATCACATTGTGTGATTATCTTACATCTATTCACAAAAAACTTAGCCTCACACTCACAGTACATAGAAAATCGGAGGACCAAAGGGCACCCGGGCTACTGGCCTTCATTAGATCCAGTGAATGCCCCGGTGGGATTGCGTTGATTGAGCTGTTCTGGACGGAGGACACCCTAATTCGAATAAAAAACCGTGCCACACTTACTGATGGCCAACATTTGAAAGGATATTGAGGTACGCCTCAGCTAGTAGCTAGTACTGAGCGCAAGACATTTATAACTGTATTTATTAGTGTATGTCCTTTGTCCACTGACAGTGCTAGATTTATGCACCAATTTATCAGCTCCGACCTCATTGCGCAGCTACCTAACCCCCTCCCCAAATCATCGGTGAACGAAACTGCGGCAACTACAACCACTGTACGACGAGTACGAGGTTATTACAGCTGACGATGACGTCCTTTGTCCACAAATTCACCTCAGTACGAATTAAACCACACTGACTCCAATCAGATAGCTAGTAAGCAGGTCAAGAGAACCCTTTCAGAAACAAAATCGGACTTGTGACATGCATGGCTATGCTACTCTACCACTACTTTGAACAGTTGATGTGATGTACTATCTTAATGGTGATCGCGATGGCTGCCCTGAACCAGTACGAAAAACACATTAGGATCTCGTCAGCAAGAACTAAGACCAGAAGAGGAAAGTGTCTATATTCTCCGTGATACTGACGTCAACGTTTTTACCAGATTCCATCTCATCAGACTGATGATCTCTTTAAGAAACAGCGTTTAACCTTTATGTAGCTAATAAATGCTTACTTAGGGTCAGGAGTTAGAAGCTGCAACTGTACTTTCTGGTCGAGTTGCATAGCTACGATTGCTGAAAAGTACCTAGGGTTCCATCAACGCCTCTGAGATGACGGAAGGCTCTGGTCCATAATTATTCAAGAGTAAGGTTTTCGAAATCAGAAATATCGAAAAAAAGCGTAGCTCAAAAGCCGAACAGCCGACATGTGGTGTAGGAAGTTTAACAAAGCATAAACCGTGAGACTATATTCACAAATTCTTTTCAACTGTTTTACTTGTGCAGGCATCAGTCTTCATAAGAGTAACTAATTTTTATTCACCTGGAGTCGGGAGTCAGAAATTTGGGCAGAGCGACATATGCAGCCACCTGAAGGCCCTTCGTGTTTATCCAACGACGCGTAAGCATCCAGTATTTCAATTAATGTTGGCTAATGAACATATAGTAGCCGTGAAAAAGGTTGTTATGGTCACCCATTTTCCTAACCAAACCGTTTGTTCAATTCAAAACATTCAAAATTCCACTATGTATCACTCAACAGATGTTTTCACTGAGAGCTTAATTTCGATAAGGTAAGCAAATAACTCCTAGAAGAGAGAGTGAAAAACGAAGTTAATGTCACGTCAGTGATCCGGCCGGATGGTGCCCCCACGCCGGTAAATGCCAAGTACGCTCGAACATCATAACCAAAGTGTTGTACGTGCAGATAAGTCATCTTCTGTTTATGAGGAAGATGACAGTTAGCTGGACTCCATGGGAGGATGGATTTGGTGGACAGAGAGTACATGTGCCCGTAGGGAAGCCGAAATAAGTCAAGAATGCACTGAGGTGAAACATTCCTTGAACAGATTTCTAGGGAATACAAACAATTGTAAACAAATTTGGTTTTGCGAGAGATTCGCTTGGGACCCAGCTGAATCTCTCGTAGCCCATAAAAAATCAGTTGTTAACGCGAACTCTATACGAACCGTGAAGTGAAAGTTGCTCATGGCCGTATAAGTGTCACTTGTAGTGTCAAACATGTTCAGAAAGGGCAACGATGCCCCCTTTTTGTGGAATATGAGAAAGCCAACTTGGTTGGTTGGGACTCGTATGAAGCGCAGATCCAAGTGCATAGATGTCATAAACTATGAAATCTCGGGAGTATGTTGTGTTTATTGGTGATACAAAGTGCACTCTGACCGGCCTAGTCTGCTTAATTTAATGGCGACACGGAATGTGAACACAAAAAAGAACTTTGAGTAGCAGGTCAGAATAGGTTTTTTTGGTCTTATATTCCATTTCTTCGGTACATAAATATTATGTCTTTGAACCAGACTAAAGATTCCAAGTTGCTTTCTCGTTAGAACGGTTGACGATGACATATTTCCGTTCTTGAGTGAAAAGCAAGCAAAAGAAAATACATTTATAATGCATGTAGACCCGTATTTTCTTACTAGGGATGGCATGGTTTCGTTTATCAGACAGATTTGTAGAAAGGTACGGACATATAGCTTTATAAAACATGAGACATAACGACAAGGTTATATATGGGCAGTACAGGTTCTTTGTTAATTTGAATTAACAGAGGAGGTAAAACCATTTACATAGTGAAAACTGAGAGCAAAGCCTCTGCAGACACTATTCAGGGGTAGGCGTTTTAACGTCGGATTAGTAATGACGTCGTGGGCCAAAAAACTTACTGGCTTTTCCTTGTTTAGTTTCGTACTTTGTCGGTGGGCAACATGAAGTCTTTTAAAATTGTGCGCACCAACGAACCCATGTGTTAAACTTTGGAACACAGTAACTCGATCAGGAGCACGAAGGGACAACAAAATGGTTGACCTTAACAGCATTTTGTGTATCGTTCTAGAAGAAATGTTCCTAATCGAGTGTATTAGTGACCGACAAAAATCATTTTCCGTTGAAGCTTGATCGTACAGTAAGGTTGGGTTTTGTAAGGTCCTACTATGCTTTCAATGCGCTTGCTGTTTGCTATGTTTGAATCCTGATGCCTTTAAACAAGCAAGAAACCAAGGTATACGAATTCGAGGAGATAAACATCACTGAAAGCGTGATGAGCTCCTTGGCCAATATCACAACTACCTGTAGACATTTGGCTCAGAGATATTTATTTGGAGTTTCAAACAGTTGCGGCAACACAAGGAATCGTTATTCAAAAACAGGTTTGGTCGAAGAGCATGGTTACTGAAGAGCTGGTTAATAAAAAGGATTCTTTAGATGTACCGAATATTGTATTCACAAGTGCTAAAGTACGAAACTTACGAGACTATCACTCGAAAAATTAGATAGAGAATGCGACAAGTTAACCGGACAGTGGAAAATTTACAACCGGTTGAGGTCAAACTAAAAAACAGCGCATTCCACGCGTAAATATTCATTTAAAGCTTTAATTATGTGTCGGTTGACAGCGTAGCTCGTCATACCATCTAAAGAAGAAATGGTCATCATCATCATCATCAGCATCATCATCATCAAAGACAGCAACATCAGTGTTGGCACTGATGCTTCACTGGCATACAACCATAAAGTTCGGTTATATATATATAATTGTATTAAAAGCCCTACAGTGAAGAGAAGAAAGAAAGAGTGGATGAGGAAGGGGACCTAGTGCTGGCCTATGTCAAGCATACCGAGGTGCCTACACCTCCAACCGCTCAATCAGACAATCTGGACAGAAACTGACAGCACGAACGCCACTGACATCAAGTAGCCGCAATTTCTTACAACGTCTCCAGCCAATCA